CATATACATTTTTAAACCAGATAGAAGCTCCTTTATATGATGATGAACTTTTACTATTTCACATACGGCGACAACAGAAGGAAAGAAAATTACAAACAAAGAATTTTGCGTTTCCCAAAAGGGTCTAGAAATGGAAGACTAAAACGAACTGAAAGTCAAAATCAAGTCATCTTATGTTTTGATCTCCATTGTCTGGCGTTTGAAATGAAAGTTTCCTTTTCTGCTGTTTATTCCTTGATCTTTTGAACAGTGGGGAATCTCTAAAACATTTATCCAATTTGCACCCTTTCAAGCAATTTAAGCAAAGGGCATTTGAAGATATATCTTTCCCTTAGCGTACACTAGGTAATCACTCATCACTTCTGACCTAAGAGCACAACCTTGAATACTATAAAATTCTTAGAAATAGTTCTTCTGAACTGGTGATCAGTAATGAAATGCACAATCCCTCTTTTTAAAGCTTATATACATGTAACACTCCGTTTGACCTAGAGCATTGCACTTGGTTACAAAACAGCGAAATCTCCGAGTGATTAACAAATCAACTCTGTTCGATCTCGCCTGGCGCGTGCTTCATTTGGATGTAACAAATTATCAAAATACGAGAACAAATGATTATTTAACTGTAGACCGCTAGGAAAACAAAAGAATCTGTTGTTTTCTTCATGGAATACAAAATGAATCACATCACAACAAGTTACATCATCACAAAATGGTTTTTAAAGGAACTTCGTGCAGGACGACACGTTCAAACAGAAATTTCAATCTGGTGCGGTACAAAAATCATGATGTGCATTCATGGAATTCAAGCCCATTATTCACTACAGGTAAATGAAGCACAGAAACATATTTTGTTTAAAAGAACATCAACAAGAATTCGCTCGCTCAATTAGCCTTTGCGGCCCGTATAAATCAGTGTACATTTTTCCTACGCACTTTGTTAGTGAGGCATTTCCTGTTGTTAGCGCATCTTAGAATTTGCATGGAAGTCAATCATCTACAACTATCCTCAGGAAGAAATGAAAAATTATATAATAGTTATGTTGTAGTTGGACTGCATTTTACATCAGTATTTAATTAGTAACATGAATAGGTGTGCGAGACTACTCATTTTCACCTCACCCAGTGCATGCCTCGTATGGTTCTCCTTCACGTAGGATTAGATTCAGTTCAGTGGCGGTATTAGGCGCGCATGGAAAGGCCATCGTTTATCCACCGTGTCTAGAGCTGTCAAGGCAAACGTACTACCTATTAATAAGTAGCAACGGAGTGAAAGTCATTTGAAGACAACGTTTTAGCTCAAACAATTCAGTAAATTCGTAAAGGTAATTGAGACCATGTTCAGCTACCTCAACTGCAGTTCAATTGCACTGAATCCCGGCAAGAAATTTTGATATTGTATCGCTGAGATTTGCCCGGTACACTTATTCTTTGCTTAAATTGTTACGGCTAGCAAAAGTTCGAGAGCAGATTTCAAAAACTGGATACCTATGCAATCGACCTCTGAATAGGACTGTGCTCCTCACCAAGATAAACAAGAATGCATTGTTAATAATCAAACACTTGCGACGATTTAGTTCGCCTGTAAACAGAAAGAATTCCTTTGCAGACCTACCTGTTCAAAAGTTTTCAAGATATCTAATTGCATTGCCAAAACGTGGTACGTAATCCACTTTTACCAAAAAACTGCCAATGGCCGCACTGCTTCTCATCAATTGGGAGAGACCTTTAGGTCGACAATTTAAACAGAATGAAACTTGACATCAAAAAATATGTTCTTCGACAATATTTCAGCTTAAAATGTGGCACTGGGGCTTTCTCTGATCTCAATATGGTGTATCTGCAATTCATGCGTCAGGTAAATGATTGTATTTCATGGTTCCTAATGGGGATGAGTTGATTAACAACGGGGACAAATTAAGTTCCAAGTATCTGATTTGGAGATCACGAGAATCTTCTTTTTCACATTTTTGATAATATTTGTCTTCATTCCCGAAGAAAGTTCACGGTTACATTTGTTTTCGGCAGTCTTTTTAGTAGAACGTTTTTTTTAAGCAGAACTTTTGTTATAAAAAAAATAAAGCTTTGGGGAACGCCCGAAACAATAATGAACATCAAGGCGCTGCCTTCAAACTGAAAAGAAGACTCCAAGCCTTTTGCTTTATTTCTCGACGCAATAGAATGTATCGTAAATTCACGTTCGATACATTTAATACAACTTTAAATATTTAAGTGGACTCACCAAATCATCAAAAATTGGCTTGCGTGCTTTGTGTCAATCTCTCGACACGTCGTCGGTGCACATCTCTACGCATTCTCCATTCCAGTCGAACTTATCTCGACAGCTTGCGTGGGCGGCTGTTCGTGCAAATATGCTGAAAAGGTACTCTAAGGGATACAAAAACTCCAACACGGCGAATTTTTCCGTTTATCACTGCACTTAAAATACAATTCATTCCAGTTTTAGCTGATTTTTTTTGTGCATCAGGTGACAAGCCAGAATTCGTCAAGATCAATAGATGATAATGAAAGGTAAGGTGATATTACTCGTAATGCCTTCACGTAGGTGAAACAACTTGTTTGTTTGTTTCTAGCTGATTTCATGGGTTCTATTGGACGATTGAAGCTAAAAAAAGACTATCAGAGAAAAACAGTGTTAAATGACTGTCACCTTGAGGGCAAACACACTTAGGCTGTAAGTGGCGGCATGAGGAGATAGTTAACTACTATTGAATATAAGTGATTACGTGAGATAAATCAAGTGGAAATGAAGATGCACGCAATTTGGTAGTAGATCATGAAACGATTAACCAAGGGGAGAAAATAGTAAGCAAAGAAGAGCGCTAGAAATCAAATAAGCGAGCAAGTAAGCACATAAACAGATAAACTCAAGCAATTGAATAAACAAAAATGTGGAGTAGAGAACGCAACAGTGCCTTTTTTCCAGGTAAGAAGACTCTCCACAGTTATTGGAGGGTTGGTTTGTCGCTTTGAAATAACATACAGCTCAAAGATTGATTCCATTTATATAATAAACCTAATAAAATACAGGAAAAAAAAATCTCGATTCTGATTGGCTGAAGGCAGTGCAGTTCAAGTGTAACTGCAGCGCAAAAAGTGTACCACCAGTGAAAAAAGTGTAACACCAGTGCAAATTACACATCGTAATTCTGGATTATGATTGGCTGAAAGACAATAGGAAATTTTCTAAGCCAATGATATCACGTAAAATGATGACTAAAATTTTGTGCCAAGACTTTGAAAAAAGTTTTCTCGAATGAGAAAAAAATGGCTTCAAGGAAGATCTTCCGGCACTTTCTCCGCGCGAATTTTTTCATGTTTATATTATTAATAAGTAATCATACGGTTTTTCTCGTTCAATTTCTAATTAATTTGCACTTGTGAAATTTTCGAAAAGCTCAGTCGTGCAAATTAATTCCAAACTGAACTCGAAACCGTATGATTACCTATACAATTAGTCTGAGTATCATAGCGAGAATATTTCGAGCATTATTAACGCAAGCACCTTACTTGTAAGGATATGTCGCTTAACAACAACTTGGCCAAAATTCGCGGGCTCAGAAAATTTGCGGAGACGAGTGTCACACAAATTGGCAAAGCACCTCTAATACGGCTTTATTGCCTCTCCTTTTCAATCCCATTAAGTGAACGCGTTATTATGAACTGAATGCATCCGACAAAGACTATTCCAGCTCTCTTTCGGCAGGCACCCATATAGCATTCGGGTCGAGTGACAATAAACAGGAATACTGCCTTAAACAAATCTCACTTCAAGACTCTGTTGCAGCTCGAAATGCTTATTACACGTATACTTTAATATAAACTTAATTATAAAACAACTAAAATTAAATAAAAATTATCATATTTAGAAAGGAAGCCAGGTCAGCCTCAGCTAGTTTTCATGCGGGTAACCTATCCTGGTCAAATTGAAATTTGGAGATGTTGGTTTTTGTGGAGAGAAAACCGGGGAACCCGGAGAAAAAGCCTCAGGAGGAAGGCGAGAACCAACAACACACTCAATCCACATATGGCACAGGGCTGGAATCGAATCTGGGCTACTGATTAATGGAGGAGGGCGCTTTTACCTCCGCACCATAGTATTTGACTTAGGATCTGGTACAAAAATGATGATTTTCGAACGACTGACGCGAATGCTCCAATGCAAGGGATACCAATGAAGGCGTCAAAATCACCCGTCTGTTCCACGGGTTGTCAATCTAAGCGTTTCCCTAGCTCTTCCCCGAAAACATGCCAATGAAAGCGTGCCCTCGAAGAAAATACCACTGTCATATTGCTAAACTAAGATATATTCTCTGCTTAAGCAAAAGGACGGGAATTTGATAACCCTTCGTTATGAATTTTCGCGTTTCTTTTTGGCTCAGATTCGCGCCGATTTCGCGTCGTTTTTTCATAGTGCTGGTTAAGGAGACTTACCTGTTATCTTTCACTGTTTCAAGTCAATCAAAAGCCGGGGATGAGTGCGTTTATTCGTGCACATTTTAGGGCGATGTTTCTTATCGTCCCGGGTAAGTTACTTTTTTGGTGTTAGTTGACAGAGATGAGAGATTTGTATTCTATCTTTCGATATTTCAGGTTAATAAAAAGCCATAATGAATGTGTCTTGCAACGCATTCATGAATCCGACCTGAATTTATGACACAGCTAAAAGAGGATGACATCAGTGTTACCCTACTCCTGGTAACACATAATCAATTGGTCAACGCATCAGTAAGGGCCTCCCAAGGGGGTAGAATGTTCCCTTGATCCTTTGAAAATCTCACGTTTTCCCTCTTGTTCCTATTAACAAATTCCATTGTTCCCTAAATGTTTTGTCAAAGTTCCCTTTAGAAGCAGAGATATCCCTTGTTCCTTTGAAATAAATGATCATGTTCTCTTGTATCCCAAAACCCCTGGGAGGCCCTCATCAGTGAAGGAGGGAAAAACGGGGAATTGTCAAATCGGACAAGGATAGTCAAAAGTATACTAAGAGAGGTAATTTTATTAAACATTTCAAATAATTCCTTCATTCCTACAACTTTATCAGTAAATGCAATGTCTCTCACACCAAAGCCGGTTGAAGGCCAAGGGAATACAAATCAAGGGCAATTGCCAGAAACTGATGATGCACGAAGCCTCGAAACTCACGTACCTTTCCACTGAAAGCTTACAACTGTTTTTATTTCAAAAGCAAAACAACAAAAACTAAGCGAGCTGAGATTTCACTATAAATATACAACATAAAACAAACTCAAAAGCAACATCCTAAACTCTAACAGGAAAGACGACAATTTCGGAAGGGTATCACTAAATACTATTCGCTCAGCGGTGTGATAAAAACTGGTATCACTCGTCGGAACAGGAGTATAAAAATAGCTGCAGTAGTTGATGTTGTCGTTGTTCTTATTCCAAGAGGTGAGATCTCTTCTTGCGTCCGTGACAGCATTGGGGTGCACAAGCCTTGATACAAGTGTGGACGCAAACCGGTGGGCAGGGGGGCATGCCACCAGGAGGAGCCGGGGGTCCGGGCAGTCCAGGATTTCCGGGGGGACCCATAGGGCCGAGATCACCGGGTGGTCCCTGAAGAAAAAAAAAACGCAGATGTTAACACTCAAGGTTACATATTAGCATGACCCAGCAGGCTGTGAATGTAAAATGTAAGTGCGTAACGTGAAACATGAGTAGCATGGTGCTCCCAGAGTTAGGTAAATTAAGGACCAGCTGTGCAATTTGCAAAACATGATTTAGCCTCTCGCAAGTATAATTAGCTGTTGGAACTTCATCCACATCTGCCTAGTGGAGAAGGCTAAGGACTTCATAATCACTAATCATCAAACTTACTTGATGTCCGGAGGGTCCGGGAGGTCCCATGGGGCCGTCACGTCCTGGGGGTCCAGCTGGTGCACCGGGAAGTCCGGGAAGACCGGGTGGGCCGGGAAGTCCGGGAGGTCCTGGCGGTCCCTTCGGGCCGTCGGGTCCGGCGGGGCCTGCCATACCCATGGGACCATCAGGGCCAGGGGGACCGGGTGGAGGAGGTGGTGGTGGGGGTGGTGGTGGTGGAAGAGGTGGAAGAGGTGGTGGTGGTGGAGGCGCACAACATACCGCTGTACATGACGGGGCGCATGATCCGGGACATCCGGGCGGACACGGGTTAGGACTTCTTTTGAATATACCTTTCAAGTTGGCAAAAGAAAACAAATTGTCGTTAGCTTCGCAGGCTTCGCTCACAATTTGGCGTAGCGAAAGTTTTCCCTAGAGGGAAATATTCACCCTCACCAACCACAGTCAATAAACCTTCTGTTTAAAAAGTCAGAACTTTTTTTCTTATCAGTAAGTTTCTCCATCTCTTTTCGTGCTTAGATGCACATTAGAAAATGACTGTAAGATAACAAGGCCAAACGTTCTTATAAACCCGCGTTAAATTTTCGAGAGGTTAACATCTGATTTCTCCTTTCAAAACGACAGGTCAACAGGTCATAAAAATAAAGACACTTATCAACTATAAGTGAACCTGTCTCGACAAAATTTTTATCAAATTGTCTGAGTTAATACTAGAAGGAGTGTCTGATCTTCAGAAATGACTCTAGTTTTCGAGCTTGCAATTGAAATGGTCTGTGCTTTTCTTTGGCGAGAACAGATCATAGCTATCAATAAGTGGTAGTCTAGCGGCTTTAAGGCAAGTATTTGTCATAAAATGTCACAATCCTCGTATATCTAATTTCACTTGTCATGCAACTGAGCTTCTCCTTAAAATTGAGACGCTTTTGCCAAATACAATGAAAAGTAGAAATCTACCCGCATCAGCTGATAGATGGAGCATTTCTTAATATGGCATGAATTCTTAATAACCTGAAACAGGTCTATTTTGAAATGGCGGAGGGAATAACGTAAATAAATTCTGATTTTCGAATTACAGAAATTTGCGATCAAGTGCCGATTTTTAAGATAGAGAAACTTAGCTATAGAAATTATCAGTAGTTGTTTCTGGTGTTAGAAACTGCTAAGAAATTTGGGATTTTTGAATAGTGCGTTTGCCCATACTCAGAAGCTTTAAAAACCAGATTTCAATAACACTCAAGAAGAACTAAATTTGGATTATATGACAAAATAATTATTTCCTCAGATTTGGATTATACGACCAAAACATTATTTTCTTAAGTTCTTTTTAAAATCTAAAATTCATTAAACTATACACAACTGGACGAATTACAACTTTTGTGGGTTTTAACATCCGCCTTCTGCGATAAATATTTGATTTGTCCATGGATTGTAACTGACTTGAACCACGACATTAACTAAACCTGGCAGTTATTTTCAGTTATTTGACGCCTTTCTTTCTGTCCCTCGTTGTAAACTCATAAGAAGAACAGTATTCGTCTGATTTTCTTTCGTTGTTTTACGATCAAACATTGTGCTAAAATGGCAACTGAATTTTTTGAACTGTTTTAAAAAAGAAAACTGAAAAATGACTGAAGTTCATTTTCATAGTATTAAAATGCTGTTATCCAAGTTAAGTATTTTACTCCAAGTAAGTATATCCACTCAAGTCGAACAATTCTTGAGAAGGGTGCCATTCTGTTCTAAATGAATTTTGTCACCTCTTAAACAATATTTAATTTGAGAGCAGCTCACTAAACTTTCTTGCTGATCAATAAAGCTCATATTATAAAATAATATAGCACTGACATTACAATTATAAATCTCAGGATAAGGAAAATATCAACTTACTTCCTCGATGTGTCGCCTTGGCAGACACTGAGACGATGACAAATAATAGGGAACAGAAGACCAGCCTAAAATCCATGGCTAAGCCTAGGAAAAAAAAGTTAGGTAAATAAGTTTTGATATTTTGGTTGGTCAGTCGATACGACAAGTTATCTCTTGAGCCAGAACTAGAAAGGCAAACATATTCGAATATAGAAAAGTTATCCCTCACCTTTACAGTGCAAACTTTTCCGCTATATGCAGCTACTATTGTTCGCCAAGGAGTTTTATGAGAGCCGACCGGTAAATAATTTATGGCATCTCTTTTGTTCAATACGGGGACCGTGGCAGCCATTGTGTTCACGCTTGGCTTCATAGGAATCTTGCCTAGGTGCATGTTGCTTATACAAATCTACCGGTAAATAACAGCGCTATTTACTAGTGTTAAAACCCGTGTTATCCAAACTTTAAAACAAATATCTAACAGGTGTCTAACTGTTTGGAGCCAAGAGAGCCTGAATAAACTTAGTATATTTCGAACACTGCTAGCCAAGACCCGAGTACTCTTGATTGAATACGTCCATGTCCGAGACCTGACATGACATAAGAGCATTATCGACCGCTTTGGGGGCTTTGGTTTGCTTCAATATCTTAAATAAAAAGTTTATTTTTGTTTAAAGGGGCTGGTACTATGGAGATATCTGTTGGATAATAGGTTTAAAAATGATGAAATGCATAAACGATGAGTGATATTACCGGTGTTCTAGTGTGCAGTGGTCCGTGGTGCGGAATTCAAGTGGTTTATTTCAATAAAGTTTGACTTGCCTTAAAAATTACAAACGATACCAGACAGCCGCTTAAGGAAGCATAGAAAAATTACAATGAAGTCCTTAATACAGCTTTCCCTCGGTTATCGGCTGTGAATAGCTAAAAAGCGCAGTTTTTACTGATTTGCATGTTGATCTTTAATTTTGCCACTTTTGCAAGCAATGAACCAATTATTCCTTCCCAAAATATTGTTTATATTTGCTGTCATTTCCTTGACAAAATGACAGCTGGAGTTGGAAACAAAGTTACAGACACAAGTGAGATTTTAGAAGAGAGTAATGGCAGTAAAGGATAGCAGAAGACCCTTACGAGATTCCTCTCTTTCTCACTACAATCAAGGGATCAATTGATCCACAGCTCAGGGAAATCTGGCACAATCAACGTTGTTTAACTAGACACCAGTTAACAGGTGACCCGAGCAAACAATTTGACACATAGTAAGGGCTGTTTGTGTTGCTTTCATTTGAACACAGATAGTCAAGTATGTAAAGCTCCAAAACGTTCGACACCGCAACGAAAACGACAAAGTCTAACAAGAAGAGACAAGAAGCGTGTAAAATCACCTCTGTGAAAGCTGCGGCATTTCACGGCTACGTGAGCAGAAGGAATTAGGATGAAAGAAAACAACTATGCTTGGCCTGGTCCGCCTTTCAGGTTCAACAGTTCGTAAGTGAAGCGTTGGAAATCCAAACTCATGAAGTAGGAGAGTCAAGAGACCATTTCTAAACTGAAGATTTTTCCCGCGATGCGTCATTCAATGGTCGTGAGCGCCGGTCAAACACAATGGATCTGGCAGAGTGGAACGGAAATGTGTAATGGTAAGAAATCTGTGGAAAGAATTGTACAGTGAAAAATGTCTCGCGCTTGTGGACTTCTGCTTATTTTTACGCAGAGGCTTTGCGCGGTTATACACTGTCTGTCTCGGCGAGTGTGTCGCTCTGGCGACAACTGTTTAAAACTGTAGACGGTAGTTTTGTTGCTTGACGGAAAAATTTCTTGTATTGTTGAGGTGGAAACCCACTGAGACCCTCTTGTGAAGCCGAGGTTGAAAGTAAAAATTACACTTTTTTGCCCTTGGCAATATAGCTCACTGGCACAATTCTTGGACAGTTGACATTAAACGTACTCTCATTAGAATTTGTCTCTATTTTTAAGCTCATAGAGACCCTCCTTTGATAATTGGCGTAGAGAACTGTATTCAATTGTCACTGAGTGAGAGGTTCAGCTATCAACCATTTTTTGACCTTCCATTGACAGTTGACAGTAAAATAAGCGCCACTGAGTGAATAACTGACCCGTCTCTACCACCGCAGCTCGCGTCGGTCGAAACTCTCCCGATTAGCCTAATTCAGTCGGGAGTTTAAAGTTAAAGCAGGATCCAAAAAGCCCTTGCAATCAGTCGTAGCCAGACAGGGAACGTACGCTAGTTACGCTATTAATCATAAAAATTACAATTTCCTTGATTGTGATTGGTTTAAAAAACCTCCTATTTTCCACTAATTCACTTGCTAAGTTGTTATCGGACAGTTCAATAAGCCAATCACATTCAAAGTTGTAGTTTAAATCAACCAATCACATTCAAAGTTGTAGTTTAAATCAACCAATCACATTCAAAGTCGTAGTTCAATTCAACCAAACTCATTTTCAGAGCGGCATTAAACACTTTACGCCTCCTTGGTCAGTCTTTTAATTCTTCTTTCCTCGTAAACTGTAATTTTTATGATTAATTGGTAATAAGACTTCGTGTCGTCCAATTCGGTCTGTAATCATACTGCTGATAAACAAATCGAACTCCCGCTGCGCGGTCGTCCGATTTTGTTATCACTCGTGTGATTACAGACCGAATTGGACTCCACTCAGTCCTATTACCATTACTTATTATATGTTAAGTCTGTCCACCTTTACACACAGGTACAAGAGCAAAAGCTGCTGACTTCAGAGCAAACTCGCGCACGTGTAATTCGTAGTTTACTCTCGTTCACAGAGCCTAGCCTTTTTTGTTGAGTGACCAACTCGGAAGTCCATATCGTTCCTTGTCGAAAGCGCGGGCTTTTAGATTTCGTAGAAATAGAGCCAAGACTAGTCACAAGACTCTAACAAACATAGGGAATATTCTACTTTATAAAATTATATATGAAAAAAGAAACTGCAGCGCAAGACATTCAGCTAAAGGACTTAAAAACTATTGTTTAAAGCAATTTTATACTGTAAAATGTCGCTTATAAAACAAGAGGGCCCTTGACTGTAAGAATGGAAGGAGGAGGGGTCTTGGGCGGAGCGAGGAGGGCTCGGAAAGATTTCGGCACAAAAAAACATACAAAACCTATCTGATTACCGTTTTGTTTTGTTTTGTGTCTTAGTGTATCACTAACCGTAAATTTGCAAAGGAAACGTTCGATAAAATGCTAGTACAAAAGGTAGCTATCATAACTGGATAGCTGTAAAGTGTAAATTTAAAAGTTTATTGTTGAAGCAATAAAAAGCACAATAAAAAAAAAAAAACATACATTGTCAAACGTGTGAACATTAATAAGCTCGAGTGAACACCTAGGCTCAGTCTCAAGCCGTGCGTGTTTCGGTGCGCGCACGACCCTCCCACCACAGCACTCACGGCTGGAGACTGAGCCTAGACTAACTAAATACATGTTTCCTTCCCCGTCCCAGTCCATTGCTAAATTTAATGCTTTAAATATGGAAATATTGAAATTCTAACATGGCATGGAGAAATCACATCGAGGTCGAGAGATGGGCAGCTAATAGGTCATTTCCGAGTTACCTTGTGCCTCGGTTTCAAAACGAGTCTTCGTGCGAAACCATTCATGAAAATCAAAGTCATTTTCATATGAAAGGTTTTGCACGAGGACTCGTTTTGAAACCGAGGCACAAGGTAACTCGGAAATGGCCTATTACTCTTGTTTTAGTTCCTTAACCCACGGCGGCCATGTTAGCCTGTGTGGAGAAGTCTACTACTTCTTTTGAAATCTGTAAGCAGGTTAGCACCATGTTAGAATTTTAGTATTTCGAAAATTCAAATTCAAAAATTCAAATAAAAAACTAACTAAATACATACCAACTAGTCATGAATTGTCAAATTCTGCTTTAACGGACGCCGTATCAAGCGACTGGCATTCAGCGATATTCGACTGCACCGAAAACTCTCTGCCTATTGCTGTCGCAATANCGTGCTGCTGCGTTAGATGAGAAATACGTTTCCACATATTTTTGGCCACATCTTAAAGGTCGTTTTTTAGTGGTTTTCGTTGCAAGGATACAGATTATCTTATAAGACGGAATACATCTATATCAGGCCCTGGTTTTTCGAAAGGTGGATAATGCTATCCAATGGATAAATCACTATCCAGTGGATGGCGTAGTTGGTTTTGTTTTGTAGTGTAGTTTGCTTTGTTAACACTCATCCGATGGATAACGTTATCCAACCTTCGAACAACCGCGGCCAGGTGACTGAATGACTGACACATCCTCAAAAAACTATTCATTTTGAATGTCTTGACGGAATGAAACATGGATGGCTAAGCTTTGGTAAGATTGAGAAGGAATTTGAAAGAGGAACTCGAAAAATAATGTTCCCATCTCGACTGCTGACTCACCAGTGTCGAGGCATCATTTTTATAACACCCATTAGTATGTCACTGCTGCGGATAACATGCGACAAAAACACAGTGCTTATCACACCGAACGACACCACATCTGAGCGAGTACCCATGTAGAGTAGCGTCAGGCCAACAAGCTGCAGCATCCAGCGTATGAGGTCCAGTCCTCTGTCGCTCGTCACAGGGCCGTGATAGTAACACACACAGAAGCTGATGATACCTGTAAACACAAGAAGCACATGTTTGGATCTTTGTCACCTTGTTACCTTGTAACAAAAAAAGCGAATTTTTGGTATTCATAAATGTCACAGATAGAGTACAAAATGAATCTTCCTGAAGGCTATGTTTTTGTTGATTGTTGTTTAATATATGCAACTGCGAAGATGTCAAAAAATCGGATTCTGTCACCCACAGTTCACATTATATTCGTGACTGATTCACTTGTTCAGAAGACGGTCTCTTTCTATTTTTTCGTACTATTGATTCGTGGAGCTCTTCTTTCGCAGCGTTAGCAACGAAAACGGAAAGACATGGACTGTGTAGCTGGCGAGATTTCGCGCGCATTTGCTCACGAGAGCGAAGACCACTTTCCTAGCGTGTGACACGCCGCGTGGGGATTCGTGAGCAGTCAAGCTGAGATTATCCCTCGTGGCCTCACCCACGTCACGCGCCCCTCCGCCGAAACTCCCACAATCTCGCGCAAAATCGCGCCAGCTATGCAGGCCAGGAAAGACATTAATTAATATCAGCATTTACATTTTTCCAACAGTAGAACGACTAGAATAATACTTTGGTTGCCCGGTGGTTGCATGTAGATAACTGGAAACGGCAATATTGAGATAAAAAAAACTTATCAAGTGTTGCTGTCCGTCACCTACTACAACAAGATATCCAATGACCCACTGGTTGTGGTTAACAATCAGGTCTTTCAAGTTGCCCCAAGTCCACTGAATTAGATAAGCTGCCAGACTCCAGCCTCCGATTAAAACAGCATATGCACCTCCTCTCTGAATTATGGGAAAAAGAGGGTAAAGAAAAAATTGGAGCACACATAACAGACGATGCCTGCTTGCAGAGAATACAACTCGCTTTGCGATGACATTCTCTTGCCAAATGTAGGTCATGGTATCCGGTCACTTCGCCCCATGGTCATTTCGCTCCAACCAAAAGTACAGTATGTTATATATTTTTCAGAAATTGCAAACCGACTTCGGTTTCAGAATCTGGATTTATTAATAATCCTGACCTCAAATTCATTAACAATTCGTCAAGCTTGAAGAAAGGAAACTATGGCAGTGATGGTGTTTTGATATCTGATGGATATGGATGGATTAGCATGGATTTTTACGATTTTATTTCTCCGCTTTCTTCTTATGGCAAAATCTTTATTTCTTATTGGAAATATCATTACAGCTACAGTATATTTATTTTTAGTTCTAGACAGGTTGTTCAAATAAGGTAAATTGACAATATATATATCAAACTCAATAAAGAGTTTGACCACATTTCCAAACACCTCGAAGTTTGTAAAAATCCTCTGGCGCCACTGGTTGTATTTTCAACTCTTCTCTCAGTATCTGGAAATGTGTTCAAATATGGTCTTTTGTGTTTGATATATTACTTGAAAGTTGTTACCCCAGGAATGAGTCTGTGAAGAATGTAAACAAGCATCAACAAGGACATGATGAGGCCAAGTGAGACACCAGATGAATAAAAGAACACACTATTCCTAAAAACGATAAAATCAACAAAACTGTGTAATTACTCCTATTACTGTACATATTGTAATAGCCAGCCATTTTAGTCCTGGGAATAAACCCTATTTTTTGTTGCATGAGGCAGCCCCTTGACTGGGATGCTAGTCCATTCCAGACTTCTCCCTCACCCTAGCATTTTTATGTAGCTAAATGTAATTTACGCAAAGTT